GTTTAAACTCCGCATTCCCCTACAGCCTATTTCTCCTTGCAGGGCTGTCAGTGACTTTTTTGGGGGTGTTTTCTGGGAGTGAAAGAAGCTGCAGCTTTAAGCTATATTGGGGGGGGGGCACTAATATGCTTAACATGCAATAACAGGGCTCTTGTGTCACAGAGACGGGAATGCTTGGACTGGGGTTCAGGGCTCAGGTGCTGCTTCCATGGTTTCGTGCTGAGGTGTTGATCTGCCCCCGGGTACACACTGTATTAATTATTTTTGTAAACCAAGGAGGGTCGCAGAAGTTTACTTCTTCCATATGACTTTGGAAGGAAACAGAGTTTGAGTACGGGGCATCCCCTTCAATTCGTCCTCCTCTCCCCCACCTGACACACAGACTAACGACAGAGACAATCATTTTGTAGGGAGCAAGGGAGGAAGCACTGCAGGATTTTGTATGCTGGCGTTTTGTTTATAAAATGATTTTATGGACATGTCTGTAAAATGTTCTCTAGATTTTTTCAAGCACACTAATAAAAAGCATCCTCGGCTTTGTAAAGGCAGCGGCTTCCTTTCCTCCTTCCCGTGTTATTCCAGAAGCGGGGCTTGGCTGCAGCTGAAGCATTTCCACGGTGTTTGAAGAGGAGCGGTGCCTGCCCTCCCTCTCCGGTGGCAACTGCTTGCGTGCGCATATTCTGCATGCGTGCCCTGCCGAGCTGCTCTGACTTCTTGTTCCTGGACACTGCAAAGCCCAGCTTCCCTTCTGCCCTCCCCCCTGCCAGGTTTTTTCCTAAACGTTAAGATAATGCTTTCAAACTTACGTTTTTTTTTAAAGCTACCCCAGTGCAATGCTTAAGGTTAGAAGGGATTTTTTGACCCTGTACCTCTGTATTGGTATGTTGGCCGCAGTTTCGATTGCTTTAGCCCTGCTGTGTGTAAGGAAGTGGGGCTTGTCTGCCTGGATAATTCCAGCAGCTGCTGGTAACTTGTGAGCAGGTTCGGGGCAGAGCCAATAGCTGGAGGCACAGGGAGCGTTATTGTGAAAGCCCGTGTCTGGTTAGAAAAAGGAGAAATGATGCAGGCCCAGGAGGCTGCTAGCACTCCTCGAAGGGAGCAGGAACCAGGTCCGGCGGTTGTGCTTCTTGCAAAACAGCCCCTCTCTCCCCCTGGAGCAGAAATGTGGTTGTCCGTCCGTAACGGCAGTTTGCTTTCTAGCCTGCACCCTGCGGATCCTCCGACACGGAGCAGAAGCACCGGCCCACCCGCTCCGCTTCCCCTGGGACCGTGGGCTGCCCCGCCGGTGTCCTCACCCCAGGGGAGCCGAGTAATGCCCCTCGCAGCCCGTGCTGACCCCGCGCCGGGACCCGCCGTGACGCTGCAGTTCCCAGCCATGCAACTAAATGGCCGAGTCAGGCGCATGTGACTGCTGTTGAGAAACCAACTGCCAGCGAACCCGGAGGAAACCACTTCCCCAAGCTGCTGGGGAAAACCGCCCGCGCGGCCAAGGGTGCCAGCCCCCCGGCCCCTCTGCTGCTGCTGCTGGCTCAGCTCCGGAGGAGCTGTGGGTGGTCCCTCTGCCCCCGAAAGCCACCGTGCTGTTACGCTAGCACAGAGCGGGAGAAAACACCCTCGCAGCAAACAACGCAAGTCAAGGTCACGTTTGGGTTTGGGTTTTTTATTGCATTTTTTTTTTTTTTTTTAATAGTGCCTAAACACAGACTTGCCAGAGGCTAACACTGTGTGTGGAAACCTCCACGTCCTTTCCTACAGCTCTGCCCACCCTAGGAGGAGGAGAAAAGTAGGATTTTGAAACCCAGGTTGAAAACCATAGCTTAAAAAAGCAGGGGAAACCAGCCTCCCTTGTTGGTTGGTTGGTTGGTTTGTTTTTTTTCCTCCAGCTTTGCTTGTGTTAAAACCAAGCACTGCCCTGGAGCTTTGTCTCACCTTAACCCCATCTCGCTTTGCCTCAGCTGCTACTGCAAACCCGCAGTATGAACACATCATGTCCTTTGCAATGACAAACTTGTGCTCAGACCTTCTCAGAGTTACCCCGTGTAGCGTGACTGCCCTAGCCCTGTCCCAGAGCAGCCAGGATGGAGACGGCGAGGGGAAAGTGAAGTGATTGAAGAGGTAAAACCTCTCCTGCTGTGACCCTGGGCTGGAGCTGCCCTCTCCTCTGCGCCTGCCACCCGGGGAAGCCGAGGTCTTAACCTCACTCTTGCTCAGAGCCACTGTGAGTTAAACAAGATTAAACAGAGCGGGCAGAGGACATAGCTAATGGCTAACAGCTCCTTTTCCTTTCCAAAAGCACAAACACCCACCCCCCACCCCCCCCCCGAAAGCGAAGGCTGAGGGCTGGGCTGGCACATGATGCCTCCAGCATGTGGTGGCAGCAGCACAGTTGGGGTCGAGGTGCCCTTGTCCCCCTGGCAGGGACAGGGAGAGGGGACAGCAAGGCCCCAGTCCGGCGGCGAGGCAGAGCGAGAGCCAGGGATGGATGTGCATCTCCCGCCAGCGGTGGGGCCGGTCAGACGGCGGAGAGATGGATCACCCTGAACTCGGTCAGCAGGGCCACGCAGAGGAAGGCCAGGTAGTAGAGGATGAGGCAGACGCCGTAGGCCTTGCCCAGCTGGAAGCACTGCGCTGGCACCGACACAAAGGAGAAGACCAGGCTCAGCCCCAGGGCCCCGGCGAGGATCCAGACCAGGAGGCTGTCGGGCTCCAGCTGTCGGAGAGACGGGGAGTGATGTGGAGTGACACCGGGGTCCTGCTGCCAGCCTGACCCGTGCCACCGTGTCGCTGCAGCCTTACCTTCACCACCAGCTGGCTGCTGGTCATCTGCAGCAGGCAGCCGAGTCCCACGCCGACCAGGATGTCTGGGGCACGTTCAGGACGGAGACGCAGCGCAGGGGACCTTGGGGGAGCAATGGAGCCAGCCACGTCCCTCCCACCGCGGGGAGGGGGACAGCACTGGTCCTCCTCCTCCCTGCCTGTGCCCCATGGCTGTCGCCTAGCCCAAAGCGTTGCCTGTTTGTGGCGAATACAGCCTGGAGCACTCGAGGAGGAGAGGCTTCAGCCTGGTCTGGGGACCACACAAAGCCTCCCGGAGGGTGGCACAGCCTCTTCCTCTCCTTCCCTTTGGCAGATCCCAAATCTGCCAGACTCCAGCCCAAATCCCCACCCTGCTGGGGCTGGGACAGCAGTGGGGATGGGGGGATGCTGCTGGCTCCATCCCTGCAGCTCCTGCAGTTCACAAATACCACGCCAGTCCCCCCACGCTGTGCGGGCACCGGGGAGGTTGCCAACATCCCAGAGACTCTGGGATGGATCCTGCCCAGCTCCTTCCCAGGGGTCCCTCAGGAACAGGGGCTCTCCCTGGGCTGCAGGCAGGGAAACTGAGGCAGCCCCTGCCCCAAGCACCACCACCACCTCCCACCCAGCACCCAAAGGATACTGAAGATGATGCCCCCGAAGCAGGCAGAGAAGGCCATGCGCGGATAGCCCTGCCGTGCCATGGTAAGGTCAGAGAAGGTGTCTGCAGAAGGAGAAGGGGAGACTTTGGGGGATGCCAGGAGGATGGGTGCACCTGGGGTGGCACTGGGGCGCAGCAGAGCCCTTACCGCCAATGCTGTTGCCCCAGGCCAGCAGCGTCAAGCCCAGCACGGTGTTGCTCAGCTGGAAGATGATGCCCAGGGTCCGGAGGATGTTCACCAGCTCCGTGGCCGCGGCGTTGATCCACATGGCACTGGCCAAAAACCCGAGGAAGGCAAATACCTGCCAGGCAGAGGGGTAAGCTGGTCCCTGGGTGCGTCCCGCAGGACCCTGCACACCTCCAGCCAGCTGTGTCCCTCCTGGGGACACCGGGGACCAGGAAGGAGGTCCTGGCTCCTGCTCTGCTCCCAGGACCCTCAGCCCAGTCCACAGCAGGCTGGGCTTGGTCCCCAGTGGGCATTCAGGGCTGGGGGGCACCTTACGCAGTGGTACTTGGGCGGCTCCTCGTTGCTTGTGGTGATGAAGGTGATGATGGCCAGGAAAGAGCCAACCAGTGTGACCAGTCCCCAGACTGGGAAGATGCCCTGGATCTGGTACAGCCCATCTGCACGTGGTGCAGAGAAGGAACATCAGAGCGGCCCTGCAGGCACCACATGGGCTGGGGCAACCATACGGCCAGGCTCGTGGTACGAGGTAAAGCCTTGGCCCCTGAAGCCACCTCTACCCTAAGCCCTCACAGGGCTGCTCCCCTCTGTGCCTCAGTTTCCCCAGGCAGGCCAGGCCTGCCCCATTTTTCCCCAAGGACCTGGATGCCAGGGGGCCCAAACCCCCACCCCTGGGGGGAGGACGGAGCCATCCAGCTGCAGACCAGGCCTCCCAGCTTGGCTCTTCGCTGGCCCATCCTCCCCTCCCCAAATGGGGTGCCAGCTCCAAAGGGCTCCTGCAGTCCCCAGGGCTTTGGTGGCCATCTTGGTCCCATCCCCTCCTGGGTGTCCAGGGCTGCCAGGGCTCTTACAGGTTCCTGACTTCAGGGTGAGGATGCAGAGCAGGGGGCTGGTGAGGACATGCAAGCAGTTGAGGGGTCTCTTCCAGTTCAGGTCATCCTTGTCAGGGTCCACGACGGGAACGGTGAGCAGCAGCACCAGCTCCACGGGCACCTGGGAGGAGCGGCCGTGAGCAGGGATGGGGGACCCCCAAGACAGGACACCCCGGGAGGTGCCCCATGACCTGTCCTCCACCTGCCTGCCCTTGTCCCACCATCCCCATTGCAAAGCCCAGGGGTGATACAGCCCCAGGGACCAGCAGGGAGGGGGAGGCCCTGTGCGGGGGCTCCTCCCGGCTCCAGCTCCACGGGCACCTGGGAGGAGCGGCCGTGAGCAGGGATGGGGGACCCCCAAGACAGGACACCCCGGGAGGTGCCCCATGACCTGTCCTCCACCTGCCTGCCCTTGTCCCACCATCCCCATTGCAAAGCCCAGGGGTGATACAGCCCCAGGGACCAGCAGGGAGGGGGAGGCCCTGTGCGGGGGCTCCTCCCGGCTCGCGTTCCCCCCCCTTACTCACCTTGAAGACCTTGAAGAGCCGCCAGTACCAGGGCTTCCCCTCCACTTGGGGGGCGGCCCTGGGCGGGGGCTCCTCCCGGCTCGCGTTCCCCCCCCTTACTCACCTTGAAGACCTTGAAGAGCCGCCAGTACCAGGGCTTCCTCCTCCACTTGCGGTAGTCCAAGGGGCTGAGGGCAGTGGTGAGGATGCGCAGGGAGGTCTCTCGGGAGGGGAGCAGGGGCCGGTACTCCTCACCTGCAAGGGGGCACAGTGGCTGAGCGGGGTGGGGGCCTCCCAGCCCTTCCAGCATGGGGCTGCGGTCACCTGCGTGGCCCCAGCAAGATCCCCCTGCCCCAGGGTCAC